GAGAAAAGCGCCAGTCTAGACGTGATTCTCCGGAAAATAAGCCCTTTTCTACTTGAAAGTAGGAATAAGAGATCCTCCGGAAAAGGGTTTATTTTCCGGAGAATCACGTCTAGACTGGCGCTTTTCTCCGGCTTACCCCCAAGCCGGAAAAAAGCGGCAGCCATGTAAATGCAAATGCCGCGGGGGATATTTAAATCCCCCGCGGAATTTGCAATTCCGAAGTCTACATTAGCATCCCTTTTCCGGAAAGGGGTGCCAATGTAGACACCGCCAAGAAGTCATTCTTCCGCTCTGCTCTGCGCTGGTTAGGCCTCAGTTGGAGTATTGTGTCCAGTTCTGGGCACCACATTTCAAGAAAGATGTGGAGAAACTGGAGAGGGTCCAGAAAAGAGCAACAAGAATGATTAAAGGTCTAGAGAACATGACCTATGAAGGAAGGCTGAAAGAATTGGGTTTGTTTAGTTTAGAAAAGAGCAGACTGAGGGGGGACATGATAGCTGCTTTCAGGTATCTAAAAGGGTGTCATAAGGAGGAGGAAGAAAACTTGTTCATCTTAGCCTCTGAGGATAGAACAAGAAGCAATGGGCTTAAACTGCAGCAAGGGAGGTTTAGGTTGGACATTAGGAAAAAGTTCCTAACTGTCAGGGTAGTCAAACACTGAAATAAATTACCCAGGGAGGTTGTGGAATCCCCATCTCTGGAGATATTTAAGAGTAGGTTAGATAAATGTCTATCAGAGATGGTCTAGACAGTATTTGGTCCTGCCATGAGGGCAGGGGACCTCTCGAGGTCCCTTCCAGTCCTAGTATTCTATGATTCTATGATAAGGAAACAGAAATTCAAAATGGTTACCCTAAACACCATTATCCCAGCTCTGGAGTCTGGTGACTAGTTTTCTTCTCTTGACTTACAGGACGCATTCTTTCATGTATCAATTCATCCCTCTTATAGACGTTTTCTCCGTTTCACTTTAGGTCTCCAACAGTACCAATACATGGTACTTCCTTTCGGTCTCTGCACTGCACCCAGGGTATTTACAAAGGTGCTAGCGGTTGTTACCACTCATCTCAGAAAACGCGGAATCACAATCTATCCATACTTAGATGATTGTCTTATCAAAACAAGGACCAATCAAGACTGCTATCAAGATGCCATCATCGTACTAACCTGCCTTCACTCATTAGGGCTCCTAATAAATTGCGGCAAATCAACACTCATGCCTACCCAAGGAATCCAATTAATTGGAGCACAATTCAGTCTGATCGCAGCCAGAGCCTCTTTGCCTACTGCCAGACAGATTCATTCACATCGGTCAACTTGCAAAATTGCTTCAAGAGATGCCAATAGTAAGGGCTTACGACTGCCTTCAACTCTTAGGTCACATGGCATCATGCAACCCTGTAGTCCCAAATGCACAACTTTTTATGAGATGTCTCCAAGGTTGGCTCCGACTCAAATACAAGCCACACTCCATTATATGACCAAAATGCTTACATTACCACATCCAGTGAAAAAATCGCTACACTGGTGGACAAAAATCATCAACCTGTGCGTAGGCATTCCTTTTTGAAGTCTAGACCCCACTGTAGTTATCACTACAGATGCATCCCTTACAGGATGGGGTGCTCATGCAGAAGGCCGCACAGCACATGGCCTATGGTCGCTGGCAGACTGTATTCTCCACATCAACACCCTCAAACTCAGAGCCATTTGCC